AAATTACATGGTTTAGAAGGTTGGCTTAAATACAGTATAAAGTGTATAGAAAACTTAAAAATTTCATGGTTTATTAAACTTGGTCAATTTTGACAAAGGAATATGGCTGTGAGATTAGTAGGAGATTCGATGAATTCATCGACACTCCTGAGGCTCAAAAGAAAATGCAAATTAATAATAAGATGACAATAACAATAATAGAACAAATTTAGCGATCCAGATACCCAATAAATTCTTCTAGAGCTACAATTTCTATTCTTTTGATTAGTTCGGGAAATAATTTTTTTTGCAGAAGAGATTCTTCTAACAGTCTTTGACTACCAAGCACGATAACACCTTCTTTAGCTCTTTTAAGTGCTACTGTCAATCAATTTCGATCAAAGAGGAACCTCCCGGTCTCCACCGTCAGCCCAGTGTTCGTCCTCGTCGTAAGAAGGAGAACCAGGTCTTTCTCTTTGCCCATACAGGAATCGACCGTATAACACGAGAGTGAGAGTTCTCGCGCTCTCAGACTTCTAAAAGTTGAGTTATAATAACATAACGTCGTTAATCGGCCAGGCAAATGAGACTGAATTTTTTGAGCAATTTTGAGTGCTGCTTCGTTTTGTTCATCGTTGGTCCAACTCCGCAAGGGTGTTCTACTCTCTGCTTCCGAAATATCAAGAAATAGTATTGGGGTGTCGTCAAAGGGTTTAGAAAATTTTAACTCTTTCCACATTGTCTGGTCTTTCACAGATAAAGATGACTTCAATTCTGAATCATACAATGTTTAGAAAATAATGTCAGTCAGGACTGGAAACGTGAAGCAATTGCCACCCTATTCGGGTTCTTTACCAGAGTGTATCAAAGAAATAGGGCACGACTGTTGTTTAACTAATCTGCTGAGCCGTAAGGCTATCATTTCTATCCTCCTAAAGGATTCACACAGGTCACATCCTGGTGAGATGCAGGCGTGGGTACAACCCCTACTGGGGTATCAGATTCCTAATCAAGCACACCAACTTTGGTGAGGGGCCTCCATAGCTTACAAAGAGGAGCATCCCGGCTTGTGGAATCAATAAAGTAATATACTGTAATAGAACTTATAATCTCTACAGTAAATTTGAGTTAAATTAAGGCTTAACTAAACCTCTCTTCTTACGGTTAGTTTCTCTTTTTTCAAGACATCGTAATTTACAAATTTTCTAGAGTTTTATATAAATTTCTTATGCTCTTTTTAGCGTATTTATATTTCTTGTAGGTTGAATGGAGTATGAGGAAATAGGTAATAAATTTTTTAAGAAATTTTGAAAAGAGAAGAAAAACTACTTTTACAAAGTTGGTGTAATTCAAAACTCTGCCAGTATTTATCAAATTATAAGCTTAATGAGGACAAATTTCTATGGTATCTTAAATGGTTTTCCTGAACAAAGTATGAACTATAATTTGGCTGCTAATAATAAATTTTTGAACAATTTGTTAATTCGCCGACCTGCAGAATGAAAATTTGTTCGACAGTTTACAGTAATATTTCTTCAGATTGTTCCAAAATAAAAGGGCGTCAACCGTTCTTTTCTGATTCTAATGACAACAGTAACTAATTATTTTACAATTGTGATTTAGTAAAGAAATAATAAAGTACAAAATTAATGAAGTAAAAAAGTGAATATTACTTAATTAACTAAACATCACTGAAAGTAATTTGAGATTTGGCAAATTACATGGTTTAGAAGGTTGGCTTGAATACAGTATAAAGTATATAAAAAACTCTAAAATTTCATGGTTTCTTAAATTCGGTTAATTTTGACAAAGGAATATGGCTGTGAGATAAGTAAGAGATTTGATGAATTCATCGACAATTCCTCTGGTTAACACTATGAGAAAACTGTCCAACCTAATTCACACTCAAAGTCTGTTTACCTCTTTTTTCCTGTACTCTAAGGTTTTAGATTTTAATTGGTTTATTTACGTTAAAATACTACAACCAAAGAATAAAGGCAACCGTGAATAATTAATTAATTTACCACTTCAGGACAATAGAATAAGATTAATTGACAAAGAACAAAAATGGTAAACTTAGTACGAAGTTGTAAGAAGACGATATTTAAATGTTTGAATCTACAGAAAATATTACGCTCAGCCGCCAGTTATGTTGGAATAATTGACCATGATATAAAATATAAGCTTTAGCCAGCTGGTGCTGCTTCGCTCATTGGCCGGAGCTGACATCTTCATCCGGCTGGCCTCTAAAAGCGGTCCTTTGGGGTTATACAGGGGTAGATGGGAAGAGAGAAGGTGGTCCTTTCGCGCGTAGTTGTGACAGTCTCCGGATTGTTTCTGTAGATCTGACGCCTTAGATCGTAGTTAATTTTTTGTTGTTTTGACTGACGTGTTAATGATTTTTAAATAAATTTTGTGAACTGAGTGTTGCAGTTACTGACAACCTCTTAACTGGAAAGAGGATTTTTCTTACTCCATCTGAATCTCCTAAATTTTTCTCATTTGAACCCCTCAGATTTTCCATCGCTGTTTTTGTATGACACCGAAATTATTTACATGCAACGAAACTCTTCCGCAATTTGCTCATTTCTCAACGGCAAACAGTTTGTCATTCTATAAAAACGACTTTTATAGAACTCTTAGCCTCGTTTTCATCGAAGCTCTACTTTACACATTCAAAATTAAAGTTCCATCAAGTGTCACATGAAAAAGAATAGCGATGCAACAGTAAGTGACACAGTCATTACCTGGATACTACAGAAATACACGACCCAACGCCTGTTTGACATATCAATGCTAACAGGACAAAGAGATGACTTTTTGCACAGGCATATTAATCTGCAAAATTGAAGAACCTTAATCAATGTGTTTATTTGTGCCAATGTATCAATCTCTTTTATTTACGTTATTCACAAAGTTTTATTGCATTAGTTGGATTCGAATTAATCTTTAGTTTCTAGTTTCCACTTCTAATTCACAGTGTTTACTTTTTTTAATGGACGCCGAAAGATAAACATAATACTTTGAGTTAATTTTCAAACTCTAAACAATTTTTTTTAATTTTTAAATTTACTGTTGATAATGTCTTTCTTCACTTCATAGCAGCCTTCTCTTCTAAACTTTTAAAACGTCTGCTAAGAGTAATAGATTGAAGTATAGTTGCAAACCCAAATTTGCAGCATCCGTTCTGCTCCTAAATAAATTCATAAATTCAATTATGCAGCTGAAATTGTAGCATTTAAAAAACTCCAAAAAGCAATTTTCAAAAAAGCTTAAGTCTTCACCACAGTTTACATTTTTCAAATGCCTAAATATTTTATAACCATTTTATCTCACAGTTAAAAGAAACAAAGTTTATACATTAAAGAAGCAAAAGAAGAAGTAAATAGAGTAAAGTAAAACACATGATTCCCACATATGATGACCAGTCTGCAATATTGTTTCGTATTACTACTGCGATAAAAATGTGGAATAAAGTGAATGTGAAATACAACAAAAAAGTAACTTCCCAAAGGAGATTAAATTGCTTATTTTCATTTATTACCAAAGCTTATTGCATCCGTTAATTCTTTTCACTTTTTAGGATAAAAGTCGAAAAAGTAGGACAAGCAAAATTAAAAAAAAGGCAAATCGCAAAGTTGAAAATCTTCCAGATGAATCTTACTACAAATAAGAATATCAATGATACAAAGAGTCAGTTTCACTGAGTTTTTCCATTTTTACCGATTATCTTTTTCGACTAAGCTCCCGGCGCTTTCTTCGGCTGTAGCAACCGGAACACCAATTACAACAGCAACAGTAGCAACACCTGCAAAACCTTCCTTCTTTTACATCAATCACATAACTACGTACCATGTCTTCTAGATTACAACAAAAATCTGACAAAGTACCCATCGTTCGAATAAACTGTCCTATCGCCAGAAGAAACCGTCTCACCACCGACAGTACTCGCAACCTGTGATTGGTCCAAACTTATCCTCATTTGAGAATTCAATGAACTTCGATTACCTCCCTCACTGGCTACTTCCACATTATTTGTGAAATCACTAGTGACTCCAACTCTAAGTATAGCGTCTAATATATCAGCAGCTGTTTCGTTTAAAATGGATGACTCGGCACTGTTGACTAAACTTGTTCCCGACACCAGTACTTCGCGCCTTCTGCTCTGTAAAACTTGATG